GCAGTAGGGGTCAACGGGGAGGGCAGGGGGTTAGGCATGTTGCCTCGTATTGGCTGCCACCTGTTTAGATACGTGCCCTCACACACACACACACATGTACGTACACCCAATGCAATGCGCAGCATTTCAGCAATACGCACACGTTACAGCCCCTTTCGCCATTCCACTTACGGATTAGACGGCCGTGTCGGCAGTGGACGTTGTTTGACCATACTTCGCCAATGCGGTTCAGTGAAGACGAGGTGCACAGACTTGGTGGGCAGGGGGCATAGGTGTACGGTCCAACAATAGATATCGCTGCAATGCCTTCTGGTACCCAGCACGTAGCCTCTGCGGCAGCCTATAGCAACCTGTTCTGCGGCGCGGTCACACGGTGTGCAGCAGTGCCTAGTGCTAGGCACAGAAGGCTGTGCACTGCACAACACAGAAAACTTTAACTTAGATTTTTTTTTATCCACCTAAGGCTCTGCATTTTGCACGCTGTACAGTAGTCACGGTGGATGTAGCATTAGGGTGGTGACTCCCAGGGGCTCCATTCAGTCCGCATCCCCTCATTGACCCCGAGCTTCCTCTGTCCCCATCCACCCCCCCCCCGTCTCCCGATCCCATTCAGTCCATCTCTAACCCCACGCTCACCTCACTTCACCCCCTCGCTCTGGCGCCCCGACACCCAACGACTCTCGTCGTCCGTGCCTCCTGTCACCTACCGGTTGGCGCGCCAGCACCACGCACCGAGTGCCTCTGGCTGTGGCTGGTGGCCTGCTAACTGCGTAGCGACCTAAGCCGGTCTACCGCTAAACCGAGATATGTTCAGAGAGACATTAAGCCCTGATGCCTCCTAAACAGCTGCGCCCCGTGTCGGTGACCCTGGCGAGAGTCGCGATTGCACACACGCAACAAAGGCAAAGACCCCCCCCCCCCCCCGTATAGCCTTAATAGGCTGTTGGGGCAAGTGCTGTTAGTGAGTAGCTCCTATGAAGGCCGGCAAGGCGCACGAGGGGGTGGGTGGCCAGCACCACGCACGACCTCCTTTGTCTCCCTGGTGGTGATGTTTACACATTGCGTGAGGTACTCATTTGAGGCTGAATCGACCTAGGGGAGGCCCAGGACCGATTAAAATATTCGGCAATGTTATTGGCCGTGAGCTTGAATCTAGCCTCGGGTCGCCGGGTTCATAGCGCAGTGTTTTAACCGCTACCACTAGCGCTGCCCACGTACACATGCACGAACCACACGAGAACATACAGACACACTCCTGTTGGTGTGCAGTGTTAACACGCCTGGCGGTTGGTTAGGGGTGGGCATGCAAAGGCGGCCAAGCTGGGGGCAAAGATGTTCGAGCTGCCGAAAATGTGAAGCTGGGAAAGAGCGAGAGGCATCGAGAAAGAAACAGACACTGAGACTGATCGGATGAAATATACGCAGAGAGACAAGCACGGAGACAGACGCAGAAAAATAGAAACGCAGAGAGACGCATACATGCAGAAGCACAGACAGAGACAGAGAAACACAGACAACCAAAGGCAGAAAACGTGGAGAGACGCAGAGAGAGACACACAGACACAAAAACACAGACACAGAGGAACACAGACTCACAAACCCAGAGACACAGAAGTGGCGCAGAGAGAGACACAGACACGCAAAAACGGGGAGACACAGAGATAAACACAGACACACAAATAGAGAAACACGGAGACGCATAGAGAGACACACACACGTACAAACACAGAGAGACACAGAGATAAACACAGACACACAAACAGAGAAACACGGAGAGACGAAGAGAACCACAGAGAGACACACAAACACAGAGAGACACAGATAAACACAGACACACAAACAGAGAAACACGGAGAGACGCATAGAGAGACACACACGTAAAATACAGAGAGACACAGAGATAAACACAGACACACAAACAGAGACACACGGAGAGACGAAGAGAACCACAGAGAGACACACAAACACAGAGAGACACAGAGATAAACACAGACACACAAACAGAGAAACACGGAGAGACGCATAGAGAGACACACACAGAGAGACACAGAGATAAACACAGACACACAAACAGAGAAACACGGAGAGACGCATAGAGGGACACACACACGTAAAAACACAGAGAGACAGAGATAAACACAGACACACAAACAGAGAAACACGGAGACACGAAGAGAACCACAGAGAGACACACAAATACGGAGCGACGCAGAGGCACAGAGCAACATAGAGAATGTACAAAGACAAAGATCCCCCGTATACCCTTTGACAGACTGTTTGGGCAAGTGCTGTTAGCGAGCACCCATGAAGAGATGTACAAAGATCCCCCATATAGCCTGTACCAGACTGTAGGGGCAAGTGCTGTTAGCGAGCACCTATGAAGGCCAGAACGGTACACGAGGGGGTGGGTGGCCAGCACCACGCCCGGCCGCCTTTGTCTCCCTAGTGGCGATGTTTACACACCGCACCAGGTACTCATTTAAGGCTGAGTCGACCTAGTGGAGGCCCGGGACCGGTTCAGATAATCGTCACTGATGTTGGCCGTGAGCGGGAATCGAACCCGGGTCACCAGGTTCATAGTGCAGCGCGCTAACCGCTACACTATCGCTCCCCACTAGAGATGTACACACACAGAGGCACACAGAGGAGCAGACACGTCTAGACAAAGACTACTCCCTTTCCTGTGTGGTGACCACTTGTCACTTGGGCCCTCGATGATGGCTTTATTATTATTATTTTGACACTTGTTTTCCCAGGACAGCCTCACTGAGTCTCAGGATAATTTTTTTTTCTCAGCAGAGTCCTGCCAAGCGTTGTGCAACCTAGGGGGGCAGTGAAGCTGCTTGCCATGTCTAATCACAACTGAGTGACGTCACGCGGTTAGCGATATGTTAACTACCTCGCTTGGTATGCAGGAGGTCGTGGGTTCGATACCGACCCTGACGCCTGCTGTATATTTGAAGTTTGCACGTCTCTCTCTCTCCCCATGGTCGCGTGGATTTTTATCCGGGTCCTCCGGTTTTTCCTTCCACATTTAGTATCAACGTGCGTTTAAGAGTATTCGGCTGCTATACATTTCCACGCGATAAGCCACTTTGTTTGGGCGGCCATTTGTGGCCAGGTCGCTTCGACTCCTGCTCACGGACAACACCAGTGACGGTTATCTCAACCGGTCCTGGGCCTCTCCCCTAGGTGGACTCGGCCTCAAATTAGTACCTGGTGCGGTGTGTAAAAATTATCGCCACTGGGGAGATAGAGGTGGCTGGGCGTGGTGCTGGCCACCCACCCCATCGCGTCCCGTGCTGGTCTTCATAGGTGCTCGCAAACAGCACTTGCCCAAACAGTCTGTCACAACGACTTTGGTGATCTTTTTCTTTGAGGGGCGAAGGTTTTCAAACTCAGTTCAGACCCAGCAAAAGTTCAATCTCACCTTCTCTTCCCCAATTCTCCCTTTCACAAGATCAAGCGTGCATCTGTGAAGTGTTCCCCTGCCGTGGCAATGTGGAATTTCCACCACTGGCTCAGGGCTGTCTGATAGAGATGTAGTCCTCTGCCCTGCTCCAGTAAGCAGGAGGGAGATCGTTTATCTCTCCTGCCGGTTGTGTTTTGTTGTTCGCGAAACTCTCGTCGCTGGCGTTTGTACAGCCGCTTGGTCAAACCACTGCTGGATTGCGGCCTCGCCACACCGTATCTCGGCCATGGGGGTCGTTTAGCCGTACCTTGGGCCGCCACGGCTGGTGTACAGGTCGTGGGTTCATCCTGACCCTGATGATGCCGGTATATTTGGAGTTTGCACGTTCTCTCATCCCGTGGCCACGCGGATTTTTCTCCGGCCTTTCCCTCCACATTTAGAAACGGCGTGCGTTTAGAGTATTTGGCTGTTATATATGTCCACACGATAAGCCACTTCGTTGAGCTATCATTTGTTGCCAGGTCGCTACCGAAAAAGGTTCAAATAGCCTAGTGGGCCTTTCCTGGCAGAATTTTTTTTAAAAAGTTTTATCATTTAAGTTTTACTTCACCCTGCTTGGTCCGTGTGGGTTTGGTGAAAGGGGTGGGTAATCCAGGACTGGTTCAGAAATCACTCCCACCGCTGACGGTTTTAGCCGTGGCCGGGAATGAAACCCAGGTTACAGGGATTCGGGAACGATTTTTTTTTATCGCCGACTGCTGCGCCACACCGCCACACCCCGCCCCACACTTACTCACGTGGACTTGAAATGATCGGCACGTCTGTGACGAGCAGAGAACCGCGTTCTGGTTGCGAGTGCAACCAGCTACACGCCGCGCTAGCCTGAGATATAGTCCCCATCTCTTCCCCCCCCCCCCCGCCCCCCCCCCCCCCACCGTTTGAACGTTGATTATTTTTTCTGGAAAAGGAGGGGGGGTGAACCCACCGGTTCATTCTGAAACAATCATTAAGACGGGCGCTTGAATTGAGAGCGCGTTTTGTTGCATGCGTTCATTAACGAAGCGAAAACGCGTTTAAAAAAAACTGTTTTACGTACATTTGGGTAAAAATGACTGCGTTTGACGAAGAAAATTAGCAATTTAAAAGAAAAAAAATGTTTAATGTTTTTTTATTATATTTTATCGAATGGCATTTTGTTTTTTTTACGTTTTAAAAGTACGAACCAACAAAGAAAAACATCTAAAAAAAAAAGTTAATCTCAAAGCGACACGGAGGCTCTTTCCTGCCCGCACGTCGCCGCACGAGGAAACTCGCTTCCGTTGCTCACAGTTAAAACTTCCTGCTCTGTTTTGATTCATTGTTTCACTTCCTGAATGAACGTATGTGTGTCCCCTCTTTCCTTGCCCCTGCCCCCATGCTCTTCCCCCCCCCCCCCCCCGACTCTCTCCCACACACCCTGCACTCCGTAACCCTCCCAACCCAACTCCCACCCCCCCCTTTCCCCCTCCCTCCCCACATCTTCCCATCCTTCAAACCTCTTCCCCCACCCCTCTCGCCCTTCTCTACCCTTGTCGCCTCCCCTTAACAGCTTACTCCTCGCCCATCACTCCCCCTACCAACCGCCCCTTCATGAGCTTGGGACCCCGAGACCCCGGCCTTGTAAATATACATTCCCAGCATCCGCAGGTGGGCTACATCACATCAGCGGTAACATCAGCGGCAGTGGCAGCAGTAACATCAGTAAATAAACAGCAGCAGCAGCATGTCGATGCACTAACCCACACGCGCATAGCCACGCTTTCAAAGACCATTTGCTCACACGTGTTGTAAATTACGCTTGCTACGCTGTGCACTGCAGGTGTGTGTGTGTGCGCGCGTGTGTGTGCACGCATGTGTGTGTGCATGGCTGTTTGCTTGCCTGTTTGTGAACGCACGTGTGTGTGTGTGTGTGTGCGCGCGAGTACATGTGTGGGAACGGTGTTGTCATGGTTAGCATCGTGCAAAACAGAATTGGCGACTTAAGTTCGATTCCCGGTCGCAGACAAAGATAAGTGGTGAAAGCGTCAATGGGTTCTGGGCCTCCACTAGGTCGGCTCAGTGCGAAATTATTACCTTCCATGTTGTGTACACGTTTGCACGGGGGCGATTAAGGTGGCCAAGTCATGGTGCTGGCCAAACGCGCAGTGGCTCGCAGTCTCCGACCTTAATAGGTGCTTGCTGACAAGACTCTTCCAAATAGTCTATGTAGGCTACACAGGCGGTGTTTATCTTTGTGTGTGTCCGTATCTATTCGTACGAGAACAGACATTACTCCCTGCGTGTGCGCGCGTGTACATAAACGTGTGTCAATGCAGGTGCGTTCGCTTGTGTGTGTGTGTACGTGCGTGCCCCCCTCCTCCCCTGGCATGTGTGCCTACCACAGGTGGTGCGTGTCTGTGCCTGGGTGCGCGTGCATGCGCGCGTGCGTGTGTGTGTGTGTGTACAGGTGTCCGTGCGTGTGTGTGTACAGGTGTCCGTGCGTGTGTGTGTGTACAGGCGTCCGTGCGTGTGTGTACAGGTGTGCGTGTGTGTGTACAGGTGTCCGTGCGTGTGTGTGTGTACAGGTGTCCGTGCGTGCGTGTGTGTGTACAGGTGTCCGTGCGTGCGTGTGTGCGTGCGTGTGTGCGTGCGTGTGTGCGTGCGTGTGTGTGTGTGTACAGGTGCCCGTGCGTGCGTGCGTGTGTGTGTGTGTACAGGTGTCCGTGCGTGCGTGTGTGTGTGTACAGGTGTCCGTGCGTGCGTGTGTGTGTGTACAGGTGTCCGTGCGTGCGTGTGTGTGTGTACAGGTGTCCGTGCGTGCGTGCGTGTGTGCGTGCGTGTGTGTGTGCGCGCGCTAGCCACGCCGTTCTGCAGGTAAGCGTTGTGATTGCGCCGGCATTCACTGCGAGTTTTTTTTCTGGTAACCAAACTGGCAGTGCCTTTTGTGTGCCAAGCAATTTTAGGGAGGTGGTGCGACGGGGGGGGGGGTTATTTAATTTAAAAAATAATTCAACAAAAATCCTTTGCTCACTCCCAAGTACGCGCGTGCACCTGTAAGTCATTACACATACCGCCGAGAGAGAGAGAGCGTGCGCGTGCGTGCGTGTGCCTACGTCTGGATTTAATGGGTCCCGCGAATTCAATTTACGCGCCAACAACACAAAAAAAAACCTGAGTCGTCGTGCACCTGCGACGAATGCCAGTCGGCACAATCGAGCGGCGGCAGCACAAGGTGGGTAGGGGGAAAGAAATTCAAGACGCTGAATGGCTTGTCTTTCATTGGCCGTGGTCACTTATTTGTCTGGATCAGAGGTAGGAATTTCAGCCGTGACCTTTTCCTCGCTGTCCTTAGCCCTGGTGATTTGTAGATGAAACGTCGTCTCTTTTTTTTACTTTTACTGCGCACAGCAGCTGCTGAGCACAGGGCTCCTCGGCCAAAAACGTTAAGCGGGCCGCCACCACCAAGTTGTGATAGATAAGGGTGTTGTAACACGTTGCTTCGAATTGAGAAAGGTTATCATTATTATTGAGAGCGCTTGAGAAAGAGAGATGTTGGGAGGGGACTCCAAAGTGGAGTAGGGCGAGGGAAGAAGCATAAAGAGAAGCATTGTCATCTGCAGTGTGGTGAGTGGGAGAGTGAGTGAGTGAGTGGGAGAGTTAATGAGTGAGTGGAAGAGTGAGTGAGTGAGTGGGAGAGTGAGTGGGAGAGTGAGTGAGTGGGGGAGTGAGTGGTTGTGGAGGAGGTTATTGAAGGACGCTGCTGGGAGTTGGAGGCAGTCGCCCTCCAGCAACAACGGAGGGCAGAGGAGCGAAGCTCACAACAACGAGCGGAGCGCCTGGCGACTAAAATGCAGAGAGTTGGCAGAGTGGGGAACCCAGTTGGTGCATCTGCCAGTAAACCCATGGCACCTGGGTCTGCCCCATGACCTCCTGCCAGCAGGCCTTTGACATTTCTCGTGGCCTCAAAGTGCACCTAGCCTGGCACAAGCACCTTGGTGACATCACCGCCACTTCGTGGTGAACGGCGGTTGTTGTTGAGTGGTCGAGAGTGTGTGTGTGAGTGTGTTGGTGTGACCTCGCGGCGTGGTGAGTGAAGTGGGTGAGTGTGCGGTGTGGTGGTTGAACACCGTGTGGATGAGACGAGACGGTCAGTGTCTGGTAGACCGAGTCCTCAACGTGGGTGGGGAAATCGACGAGTGAAATTCACAAGAAAGAGTGACCGTGGTCGTAGCCATAGAAGAGTAATAAGGAGGTGTCTGACTGCTGGTGAGCGAGTGACTGCAGTGGTTCAGTGAGTGCCGCTGAAACATCAATCACCCTGACTGCTGCTTTACGTTGAATTATATTGAGTGCGGCAGTGAGGTAGGAGTTGGGTGCTCCACCCCAGCTATTTCAACTTTGGCCGAATTCTCAGTGGGTGTAAGTGTGTTGTGGGGAGCAGCACTATATAGCGGTTTGCTCGCTGCACTACGAACCCCGCCACCCGAGTTCGATTCCCGCTCATGGCCAACACCAGTGACGATTATCTGAACCGGTCCTGGGCCTCCCCTAAGTCGACTCAGCCTCCATTGAATAGCCGGTGTAGCCTGTCAACATCAAAGGCGGCCAGGCGTGGTGCTGGCCACCAACCCCCTCTCGTGGCGTGCCAGCCTTCATAGGCGCTCGCTAACAGCACTTGCCTCAACAGTCTGTCAGAGGCTATACGGGGGACCTTTGTCTGCCTGAATGTGGATTACGTACGAGTGGATGTGACAGCTCCAACTGCTGGCAACTGGAAGTGTTACGAGTGGATTATAGCGAAACTTTCTAATGGTTAAACCAATTTGTTTCAGTGGCATATTTCAACGGTATTCTTTTTGCTCCCCGCTATCATTGATCAACAGCTGCGATGTATCACACTGCTGGATTCAGCACTACTTAGTGAGATGCCAACTGTGGTTCTTCCCTATAAGAATAGGTTTTACCCTTTCTGGAAAGGTGAGATCCCATAATGAAGTGGTGGCTCCGTTTATGGACTGGGTCCTGTCGTGATAATGTGGAATTTTCATTGGAGGATGAACACTGCCCTCCCATCCCCATTTTTATTGCCATCGGACACCTGTGGTAAAAAGCTTTATAGCTCATTAGATTCCTCCAGCATAAATACATATTCTGATTCTGATGATTCGACATGAATACATTTCAGCTTTATGATCACTAATCACCCTTTAAGCATCGCCACATTTCACGCCCGTAACTTGGGTACCCGCGGAGGACGAGGACGGATGAGGCGGTGAAGTACGGCCAAACAAACCCGCATGACCAGCACTGAGCGGCGAGGCCTCCGTCCAGCGGTGGAGCGAGAGAGCAGGCGAGCTGTGCATCGACGTGGGCGCGGGTCGCAAGTAAAAGCTCGATTCTCATCGCCGGCACGCCGCGGCGGCGGCGGCTGGCTATGCGTCGGAATGCGATTGCGGTCTACCGTCTCCACGCCCCGTAGCCGGGGCGGTTAGCGGGACCCTAATTTTGGCGCGATTGCTCCGGACAAACTGGAAACATAGCGTTCGTCAGAAGCCGCGCCCATCGGGAAACCGCTAACCGGGTCGCACGAGCTTTTGCCCGAAGGCCGGTGCCGGTGCTGGTGCCGGCACGACGGTTACGGTACATGCTGGAACACACACACTCGCACCTGGTAGAAATTTCCCGCACCAACCGCCTTCGCCCGAGCGAGATTGATGGGAGAGTCGGGCCGGGCGGGTGGGCGGGCGGGCGGGCGGGCGGGTGGGCAGCTGCGACGGAGGATATATGCCTCCTTGCAGCGGCTGCCTCAGCCGCATCGACCGCTTTTGCCTTTGACTCAAAAACGATGTCAGGTGTGGCGCGGTGCACGGAGATCCCGCGGCAAGTCACGTGACGGCCACAAATCTCGAGTGAGCCACCGTTGTCTTATTACTTTCTTGGCCACCCACTTAAAAAAGCTAAAAATTCCTGTCTCCACGCGTGTGCGTGCGTGCGTATGTGTGTGCATGCGTACGTACGTGTGTGCATGCGTATGTGTGTGTGCGTGCGCACGCGTGTGTGCGTACGTACGTGTGTGCGCGTGCGCAAGGTGTGACGAGAGTAAGTGTGGCGGCTTTGTCGACTGTTGAAACGACGGATGGGTTCCTACCGATTATTGGATTGGTTGAGCGACGAATCGGATGCTTGAGATGCGCTTTAGCGCGCATGGGGTTTAACGGTGTTCATGTCGAAGATGCAATTCATTTAGTTCGTTATCCTCGTCATTATCATCATCGCCATTGCTCGTAATCGCAGCATCACGCTGGACGCGCACTGTGGCGCGTTTTCGAGACCGCATTATCCGGCATCTGCCATTTTTAAATCGCTGCCGATTAATCGGTGAATTTCAAAAAATGTCATGAATCGTCAGCCATAATACAAACACAAGTTAGAGGCATTGTGTAGACCGTGAAAGCAATGAGTCAGCTTGGGCAGGACACACCGTGGCTCTGACGGCCAATGGACGAGACTGGGGAACAGAATCGCAGGCCAAAGGGGGGAACACACCTGGAGATGGAGCAACGATTTAAGTGTGACGTTGCGAAGCGAGATGGATTTGCGGCATTGCAAGACCCAGTAACGGGATGGCATTAGCCCGGGGAGGCCTTCATCCGGCAGTCTTGTATGTA